GCCTTTTGAGCAATCTAATTCCCTATGATGGTCCAAGAGTTACTTTTGGAGGAAGCAATGATTTCGGCCTTACTAAAGGGCTAGGAAATCTGGTGTACAAGGGACTAACCATCCAAGCTGTATCTTATGTTGAAGGGCTCAATTACAACCTTCTTAGCATAAGTCAGTTTTGTGATAAAGGTTACTCCTTGGAATTCTGAAGGACATGGCATCTCTTAAGAACATATCCACTAATGAAGTCATTCTCACTGGGAAGAGAATGACTTCTATGGCTTAGGAACATCTATGAAGTAATATGGGACGATGTCAAGGAAGCATGTCTAATCAGCAAAGGTGACACTAACCTTCGATGGCTTTGGCATAAGAGGTTGAATCATCTCAACTTCAAAACTCTCAACAAGTTGTCCAAAGAAGGGTTAGTAGAAGGTCTTCCCAAAGCTGCATTCAGAAAGGAAAGTATTTGTGATGCTTGCCAAAAAGGAAAGTAAGTCAAGTCCACCTTCAAGGCAAAATCGGAACCCTCAACTACAAGGATATTAAGTCTTATTCACATGGACTTATTTGGCCCTGTTACACCAATAAGTCTAAGTGGAAAGAAATATGTCCTTGTGGTAGTTGATGATTACTTAAGATACACATGGACAATCTTCCTCAACGGCAAGAAGGAGACTCAAGGGAAACTCACCAACTGCATGAAGCTGATACAAAACCAAGCAAGTCAGACCATTCAGAAGATCAGATCTGACAAAGGCACAGAATTCCTGAATGAAATCATCATTCACTACTGTGAAGAAAACAGAATTCTTCATCAGACATCTGCAGCAAGGACACCTCAACAGAATGGTGTAGCTGAAAGAAGGAACAAAACCCTGAAGGAAGCAGTGAGAACCATGCTAGCAGAAGCTTCCTTACCAAAGAGGTTCTGGGCTGAAGCAGTTAACATAGCCTGCTACACTCAAAATAGGAGTATGATTTATAAAAGGCACAACAAAACTCCCTATGAACTGTGGAACGGGAGAAAGCCTAATATATCATATTTCCATATTTTCGGGAGCAAGTGCTTTGTGTTAAACAACGGGAAGAATCATCTGAACACTTTTGATGAGAAATCAGATGAGGCCATCTTCCTAGGGTATTCCATTGTAAGCAAGGCATTCAGAGTCTTCAACAAAAGAACCATGATTACAGAAGAGTCAATACATGTTATTTTTGACGAAAAACATGTGGATGACAAGCCATCAAAGCATGACCATGAGGTTCTGGATCTATCAGACAAGGATGAAGAAGTCAATAAAGGAGATAGAATGAAGCCCACGGAATTCATTCCATTCAGAAGTCTGCCTCTGAAGATTTCATAGAGAAATGCGGATTCAGACAGTGCTGAGCCTTCCGGAAATCTTGGCCAGCCTTCCAATATTCCGGATATTTCAAACGGCAACAATTCCGGAAATGGCGACCCAGTGCCAATCCATCCGGAAACACCAACAACTTCTGTTCTTCAACCAGAAGCTGAACTAGATCAACCAGTCAATCCCAATCAACACAATCTTCGTTGGTTAAGGGATCATCCTCCTCAACAGATCATTGGAGATATTCAATCTGGTGTTCGCACAAGGAGTGCCCAACAGAATCTAGAAGCTATGCTTGCTTGTTTCATCTCACAAGT